TTGCCTCACGCGATACGCGTTATTCGCAAACCTCACATCGACCGTAGATATGAAACTGGTACGAACTGGGCCGAGGAGCTTTACGGCGCCTTGAATAATGGCAGCTGGTTGTAGGACGAATCCAGGAAATTGAAGACTGTAAATAGCGCCCATTACCACGCAAGAACCAGCAGCCTTGCTTCCTCTCACTCCTACTTTCCGAAGGCGATGTCTAACGTCAACCTTTGATGATGCAATTTTTAGTTCAGTCCCACGCATATGATTTGCGGTAGGTGTGTGTGTAATTTTTTCCGTCTTGAGAACTCAGGCGCTTAATTTGTAAAGAATTGCTTTAGTGACAAAACACCTGCCACTGTTTTGTCTGATAGAATATTGCTACAGGCGAGATTTGTCTTAATGTTCAGGGTCGGATTAGATACTTTCTTAAAGGTAAAGACCAGTATTGGCAACGCCCCAATTTCAAAAAATGAAATGGAAGCTCTCATTACCAATCATGTGAAAGAATATGTTTTGAATAATACATGATGATAAAAAATTTGCCGGGAAACCGCCTACTAATTCATATATTTGGTAAATTTATTTCTCTCATGGTCTGGTGAGAGAGATAGGGTAGTCCCATATACATCTTTCTGTGTATAGTGCTTGTAACTTTACGAAGAATGGGCCAAATTTCTTATCATTTTGATGATTCCAGAACCTTGCAGATGCTAGATGCTAGATGATCAACCTTTTCTGATCGATTCCACAACGTTTCTTTCACAATGCAATCGCATGACCATTACTGGTCTTTACCTTTAATATAGTGGTAAAAACGTGTTATTTTGCAATCTTAAAGTTTCATATTTTTTTCTTTTCAACAACAAACTTAACCAACATCATGATTAGGACTTTTTGAAATGCATGTTTGCTTTGACCCACTACTTTGAAGTCTTAAACTATTCAGAAAGATAAATTTACTTGGGATTTTAAGTACTTAAAGATGAAGTTGAGTTCTGGTCATGCGATTGCATTGTGAAAGAAACGGTGCGGAATTGACTAAAAAGGTTGATCATCTAGCATATAAGAATTTGTGTGTATTGCAAGGTTCTAGAATCATCAAAATGATAAGAAATTTGGCCAAGTCTTGGTAAAGTTTACAAACACTGTACACAGAAAGATGTATATGGGACTACACGAACACATGGCGTAAAAATCCTACCCCCCGAGTTTTACGATGTTACTGAAATATTTCGAATATAAAGGCATTTGAAGAGCCATGTTTTTCAGGGAACATGTCTTATCTGATGATCTTCCACACTTGCATAATAAGAATTATTACGCTCACAAATTATTTTTTACCTCTTCCCAGAACTCAACCTTCTCTTTAAAAGAAACTGGTTAGTTTTCAGATAAAGCCTTTGCTTCAATTACTATAGCAGGTGCTGGTATTCTGGTGAATGATCCTTGCTCTTGTTTGCTACCTGTACGTGCAGGACTGCAGGTTTTCCTCATTTGTATTATCATTGACAAAAAGGCTTGTTAGAAAGTTGTTTCATTTCTCTTTTTCAAACTTGACCACTGACCAGCATCTGAGTCCATTATTTTTGTTGGTTAAGCAATATTGTCTTTACTTTATTAGTGTCATTTGTCGTCGTACTAGCTTGTGTCCAGATAAAGATTTTTTTTTTTAAATCCATGATTCTGATCATGCATGACTTGAGTTGTGTTTGATGCTTCCTAGTGCTCCCTAGTACATTGTCAGCAAGTGTTATTCAAATCTAGGTTACCCATCACTTTTTTTATTCAGGGGGCACCCCCTGGTTTTAATACTTGTGCCTCACTCCTATCCCCTCCCCCCCCCCCCCCCATGAAAATAATCCTGGATCCACTACTGCCTGGGAGACGAGGCTCTTTCCATCTCTCTTTCTGTGTTTCCATCTTTGTCTCTGTCTCTCCCTCTCTCTCTGTCGGATGTCTCTAATTTCTCTCTCTCTCTCTCTTTTGTCTTGTCTGTCTGTCTTTCTCTGTCTCTGTAATTTCCTTCACCTTGATTCACAGTTGGGCGTAGGGATGTGCCTGCCTGCCTCTGAATTTGCATTCATGTAGTTTATTCTAAATCCAAAGTCCTACCCAGCATTGAACTTCTTCATGTCAAGGAGCCTTTCACATCTTGTTAAATCTATTTAGTTTTTCATTGTTTCAAGCTGAAGTAACTGTCAAGAGACATTTCTAAAAGACAAAACAAGAAAACATTTCATAAGAGCAAGGAGATCCCTCCCATCTCCCGGATAAAGGGGCATTCATTACTTGCATCCAGAGACCGGCAGAGACCTGTGAGGAGAAATAAAACAATGTTTCGGTTTTAACCTTCTATGGCATGCTACATTGTATTTGAAATCATGAAGGCCAACAAATTATGCAACAAATCTACATGTATTTGGTGTGAACAGTGTACATGTTGGGTTACATCATACTTTTGTGTAGGGTACAGTGTTCACTACCCCAATATTCATTAATGAGTTGGAAGTAATTAGCAAACAAGAGCAACCCTTTGGGATGCTATTAGAAGCCTCCTGTCTCCATAGTCCCATATAATATGTGCATGGAGCTGGACAGTATGCATGTATAATTAGACTTTTCATCACTGGACAATAGAGAAAGAGTTTCGTCATTTAGTCCTGTATGTGTAGGCTTAATAGATGGAGGCCCCTCTATTATGTTAATTCCCAAATTGGGAATTTAAAATGGACAAAGAGTTAGGCCTACCCTTTTTAATTGGGGTTAGTTCATTTAAGATTATATACAGAAAATACTTGGAAGTAATCTTGTGCTCAAAGTAAGTAAACATTAATATGCTGGATTGTGCAGCACAAACTAACTTAATTGCCATGAAATAGTAGGCGTACTGCATTAGGCATTAGCAGAGGTACATGTAAACTGTACTTCAGAGGTCATAACATCACCAAAATGCATTCTAATTTCTTTTGTACGCCTTCTATATTTCTTTAAAATATTATGTCAACCCACCCCAACCTATTTATTTGCTAACATCAATGATTAAAGATTGGATTATATGAATTGAAATGATATCTGATATTTATTGGAGTTGATGGCATGTATTAGATATGAAGATATATAGTGCAATACAATACGCGTACATGTATTTCAATACATCATAGAGACTACAGTTTACACAAAGCACATGTAAATACAGCCATGCTTAATATTGTTACCACGTGGCTATGCATACCTTTGCTGTTATTACGGTGCCACGATAGCATGCAAGCAATGCAACTATCGCCTGCACGTCTGTATATACATGTACGCAAGGATGGCGTGTATTATTTGGACTCGATGAGACGTGTGAAATTTCATTGTTAGATGGTGGGAGTGTCCACAAGAGAGCTTGTTTAGCATGAAGGTCATCTTGTGCAGATGTAGAAAAGATTTTCACTTTGTAATCGTATGTCATAAGGCCTGACCAACAAGCTCAACACAGACTGTCTCCTTTCGGCCTTATTCCTGGAAGATATCCCTTTGTGCATTTGGATCCTCTGTGTAGCGCTGCAGCTCCTTCCGTTATGCTCATAAACAGTTTCAATATCTCATGAAACCGAAACCCATGAATTAATGAATTTTTTTTTTTTAGTATACTTTCTGGATATATTCCCGTTTGATATATCACAACTGAGTAAAATTAAAGGTCACACTAATTGCTGCATGCATCTTCCCCAAGACTAGGAAAAATCAGGCACCATAATGACTACTGACCTGTATTTGACCTCTGACGGAATGATGGGTATTTGTTTAATTAGCAATCCATTGCTTCTTCGATTGAATGGCATCTGTAGAAAGGGTCGAGGGGAGAAAACAATATGAAGGACACCTCGCAGGTGAAAAAAAAAGGGAGGAAAGAGAGACATTAAAAGAGGGGGAGAGAAGGAAGAAGGAAGGGGGAGGAGGCAAGGAGGGAAGGGGGGTAAGAGAGAGAGAGGGGGAGGGGGGGGGGTTGGAAAGGGAGCAAGGGGCAGAAGAAGAGAAAGGGAGAGAGGATGACATGAAAGAGAGAAAGGGGGATGAAAGCCCCTCAAAAGAGGAAAATAAGGAAAAGAACAAGAGAGAAATAAAAAGAAATTCAGAGAGAGAGAGAAGGAAACAAATTAGTGAAGGGGTCTCAAGAGCGTGAAATGAACGAGATACAAGTCCATGTACATGTATGGAAAGGGGGTCACAGAACTTCATCATTGCATACCTTCAATTTAATCAGGGTGCACTGGTCTGGTCAGAAGTGAAAACTGATCGCCTACAAATACAGCCCTTCATATTATGTTTTACTGGTACTTGGTAAATATAAACCAGAGTTCCAGACAATCATTCAACATATTATTTACAGGGGTTGAACTGTGCAAGTGTGCATAAAGTAAAGTGACCTTAGCAAACAGCCTTGCTTCATTTGGATCTGCCTACCGGTATGTCTATTGGATTGTACTGCTTAGGGTCATTCTTGCGGAAGATAAAAAAAGAAGACCCTAAAAAAGTTTAAATATCCCCCTTTTCATACCAAAGCATCAGCCCTCTATGTACTTTGCTATGTTTTATACCACTATTTTATATCTGTAATGCCACACAATTAGTTCACAAAAACTTTTTAATTTTTTTATTTTATTTGTGGGCGATTCTAATACTCAAAGGCACTAATTTGTGTTTTCACAATAATTCTGTTTTTTCATCTCCATGGCATGACATTTTTTTTTTGACCCATGGATGTAAATACATGTAAACAAGCTGATATCTTATATTTTTATTGACAAGAATGGAAATAATGTGCCATTCGCAGTAAGTTAAATACTTACATGTATGTATTGTATGTATCATTTTATTGAATTTTATAGAAACAATTGTGAAATTTAAACATTTCTACATAGACTATCCTTTGCATATTAGGATCTTCTATCTTTTCTCTCATAAAATGTTTGTGTTATACTTTTGGTAACATTTTTTTCATTTTTCTTTCATTCCAGCGTTCCTGACCTTTGTCAACAGCTACAGCGTCAAATGGGCAACACGTGTTCAGGATTTCTTTACTGCAGCAAAGGTACTGGCCCTGATTGTCATCATTATCACCGGCTTGGTTCAGCTTTGCATGGGTAGGTATTGATTACTTCCTGTCCTTGTAATTATCCTGGTACTAATAGACTTTTAATATGTGTCTAATAACTGTCTATCTCGGTATTTAACCTTAAAAATTGTCAAACAATGGTTCAACGTCCACATCTGCATCTACTCTGGTACTCAGCATATAGTCTTTTTTGGGAGTGTTTCACAAAGACCAGGGACTTGATCAAGTCCCTGGTTGAACTTAACTATGGCAGGCCGTTCATGCCACTGTTTGCTGAGTATTTGGCTCTCATCATTATGATCTTGAGATTATATTTTTTCCTTCAATAATGAATTATCAACAAACGTAAATTCTGTAGATTTGTGACCATGATTTGTATGTCCCTTGATAAACCAATGCCAGTAAATGGTGAGAGCAAACAGTGGCATGAACAGCCTGCCATAGTTAAGTCTAACTTAAAGTCGATCTTAGTCTTTGTGAAACACTCCCCAGGGTATATATGACACTGGACATGATGCTGAGGTAAAGAAAATTGTGCGTGTGAAGCTGTTGGGATGAAGTCCCATGTTTAATCTACCCCAGACCCATCTGTGATCAGTGTCCAAGAACCTGCCAAATCCTAGTTCTTCGTTTTGCAGACTTGTAGGGTACCATATAATGATAATCTTTCAGAATGTGCATGCAACTGCCTGTGCAGCACTCATAAGCTATCTCAAATAGGTTTGGATTTGAACCTGTCTCGGGGTTACATCAAAAGGTGGCCTAAAACAGGTTTCCTCCAAGCAATCTTCAGCACCTTTCTTGCATTTATACCTATATTTTAACCCTGACTCTAACATCGAAACCTGTCTCAGGTCATATCAAAAGGTGGCTTAAAACAGAAGTGTTACTGCATTCAAGGTTTCAAAGTCAGAGTGCCATAGTTGGGACTCTTGGCACCTACATCGAGACAGAATATTTAGTGGATTGTGAATTTGGATATGATTGATCCCACGGTCCTCATTTTCTAGATTTATCATTGAAATAGGAGGCCTTATTTTATTATTTTGAGGAGTATGTTATGATACCAGAATGGGGTAATTGGGGTTAGGGACCCATTCAACAAAACATAGTCAAAACACAGTCAGAAGTGGATCAGGTTGTCATCATAAGAGTGAATAGCTATCAAAGATAATTATTTATAAACAACAAATGAGTGGATGCAAAAGAGACAGCCTAAACATGGCACAAAAGACGTTTCTGATATCAAAACATATTTTGGGGGTCAGATATACAACAGTAGCAGGGTCAGATTTACCATTAGTTTTGCTTGGGTGCATTTCGCGATTCCTGATCATTGTAAGACACAGGAATTTAGGCCAAAAGAGCAAACTTTCTATTACATTGATAGAAATTATAGAACTGCACATATGTTTTATTGAAATTCTTGAAAGATATCCTGTTCTTGATCAAGATAGCTCTGAGAAGTTCAAGGTTGAATGTCAGTGGACTTCAAGTACATGCTATTTGTCCACTGTCCAAGTAAGAGATCCAAATGCAGTCAAACCTGCTTTAGTGACCACCTGTCTACAAAGGCCATATTTGTTGTTTCCCTTGAAAATTGTTTCTCATTGAATCATGTACTAAAGGAACCTGTCTACAAAGACTACCTGTCTACAAAGGCCACTTTTTGTGTTTCCCTTGGGTGGTCGCTATAGACGGGTTTGACTGTGCATATGAAAATGAGCCCAAAAGATTTCACTTCAGACCCTTTGAATATATCAAACTATGACAGATACACCTGTACACGATTGTGCATACTACAGACCCCCCAACATTCACTTTCGATGCCCAGGGGGAGAAAAAATGTTGTCTTAGAGTTGTGATTCATGACATGGATGTCATTGGTGTCTTCACAGTTTGCTTTTTTAAGATTGGGAAAATGTCTTATTTATGACACGCCAGGATGTTTTTGAGGTAGTGATTGATAATTTCCTAAACGGGCCATGTGATTTCGATCCTCAGGGATTTACTGATTTAGATTTATGATAATCGTATTGCATTAGGTATGATATGTTCTCAGTGTTCCTTCCCAGAATATTTGCATACAATGATGGTAAATGGAAGAGAATGTTGGGAGCAATGTCCTCATTTAGTAATTTTTAGTAAAGGTCAGCCATGGTGGATATTATGCTCCATTCTTAAAGAGAAGGTTGAGTTCTGGGAAGAGGTGAAAAATAATTTGTGAGCGTTACTCATTCTTATCATGCAAGTGTGGAAAAACATCAGATAAGACATGTTCCCTGAAAAGCATGGCTCTTCAATTGCCTTCATATTCTAAATATGCATGCAACATCGTAAAAATCGGGGGGCCGGTTTTTTACGCCACGTGTTCGTGTAGTCCCATATACATCTTTCTGTGTACAGTGTTTGTAACTTTACCAAGACTTGGCCACATTTCTTATCATTTTGATGATTCCAGAACCTTGCAATACACACAAATTCTTATATGCTAGATGATCAACCTTTTCTGGTCAGTTCGACACCGTTTCTTTCACAATGCAATCGCATGACCAGAACTCAACTTCATCTTTAAAACCATAAGAAACTTTTTCAATCATTACCCCATTCTCAAATCTCAAATTGAGGTGAACTGAAAATATTTTTGAGACTGTAGTGTAAATGTGGTGAGAAAATAGTGCATCAAGTTACATTGCTAAAATGATTAGATGGTGCTTTTCTTATGGAGGATATGTGGGAAAATCTATCATCAGTAGGACACATCATCGACTTGTAAGGTAATATTTGACTAATGTTTGGAAGTTAGAGCAGACAAGTCTATAAAGCAATGTAGTGTGCACAGTAAATATTTTTTTCAGGTTTATCAACACCATTGTACAGTGCTTTAAATCCCATCTGTACTAGTGTACAGGAAGCATTAGGCCATCCTGCAAGGTCACTGACAGGTGGTTATCTCATCGAATCAGCTCTCAATTAACATAAGAAAAAGAGGATCATGGCGGACCAATGGTCACCGATTATGCATTGTTTGTTATATAGAGGGCGCAAGTGGCTATAAGTAGTGCAGTAAGGCTTTAAGTTTAAGCAGGGCTCTACACGAACAGGTGCCCAGGGCACATGGGCGCTTAAATTCTCAGTCCAGACCCTCAGAATTTCAAAAGTTCTACCCAGGGCTCATGCATAACTTCCTTCAAAAAGTTAGTATGGTGCCCTGCTTCAAGACAAACATGATAATAAATATTTTCTGAAGAATATGCATACCTTAAAGGAAAACAAATGAAATGAGTACAAGGTCATAAAGTGTGAGAAATGTGACTTGTGATTTAAGAGGAAGTCCACCCTGGTATTAAGTTGTTTTCACTAAAAGCAGATGGGAGAAACAGATCATTGAAAATATTCAAGGAAAGGAAAGTTATGATTTGTTTTAATGGTAGTCGATCAAACTGAAATTGGCACCTCAGATTTCCCGCGTGAGAGAAGAAATCTTCGTGACAATTAAAAAGCAAATTATAACTATTAAAATTTTGTACATAGATAATTAACATTAATTGCTTTGTCCATCTGGACGGTGCGCATACATTAGGGATCTAATTAACCCTTAATGAGGAGATATACTGTGGCATGGTAGGACAAGTGCAGGCTGCACAAGATTATCAGGTTTTGTTGTTGAATGATCTTATCTCTTGACAAGCAGTAGAACCATGTAGTAGGTCCATGAACCAAGTAGAACTCGATAGGGTCAAAGGGTTCACTGAAATAGGTCCATGCTGAAAGTATTATAGTAAGCTAATCTCCTCTTTATCACAGATGTGCAAACCTGTGTATTGATTCTGTAATACAATTTATTACAGTAAACATACTTGAGAACACATTAAGCATGAGATATTGGATAACAGCACCTTGTATATTATATAAACCAAGGCCACCTGTTACCAGGTTGAAAATAAACATTGGCTGGGAAGTATTGTTATGTTGTCTTAAAGGACAAATCACAAGTTTGTTGCTATATTTTTTCTATATAGGACTATACAGTATTCCCAATTTTCCTCTCTTTTTTTTGCAAGGGGGGGGGGGCCTTTAGCACATAATCAATCCAATTTCAACCTGAAGTTATAAAATTACCAAGTGACACGAGGAGTGTAATACATACACATGAAGGCTCATAATTTGATAATGAGAGTTGCTAACAGTTGCAGAAATATAGATATTAAGTTCTGAAATCAGTCATTGTACTGTTAGCATATTTCAAAAGTGAAGTACAGGGCTATTGGAAATGTCTCAGGTTCATTTTTTTGTATTTCTTAAGTCTTTGCATTGTGTTGTTCCAACTTGACCTATCAATGACCTGGGCAGAGTACAGGTCTTCTATTGATCGACGGGACTCAGTCGGGTCAGATGGAGTCCTTTTAGGTGTGCTTCACGTTGTGCATCCGTTGTAAGGAACCTGCGATGTTTTCAATAGGCCTGTTTTCATCAGCTCGATATTGCCAAATAACCCGCTATTTTAACTATCCCGAGCCCGCAGTTGCAATTAGCGGAGTAGTTGGTCGGGATAATCATCCCAAGATATCTTGGGCTAGTTTGCAAAATATCCCGCCATTTGTCCGGTGTGTCCTCACCAGCCCGAAGACTCGCACTATGCGCGAACGTTGAGCAAAATATCTTGAGCTAATTTCTTGAGTCTCGAGCTGATGAACGTGATTTGTAACATCATTCTTATTTCCCAAATCAGAAATAGCAGATTATTTGGCAACCTCGAGCTGATGAGGACAGACCTAATGGGGAGGTGTTCCTGAGACCCAAGGGCAAATGAATATCTCTCCATCATGCCAAGTACAAATTGTATGCAAATCCATCGGTTGAAATTTTGTGTGTGGGTGTGAATTTCACATTGGAGGTGTCGGTCGTCCAGATCTGTGATAAAGATGTATGCCTTGACCCAGTCTCAAAAAGATTTCCCATTGATCCTGATTAATCACAAGTCCTCAAATCAATTGCAAACTCATGTCTCTAAAAGTGCATAGTTGCGATTGATACCAGGTCGCTATCGACTTTTGTATCAGTCGCTGCATGAGTCGTAGTTGTATAGTTGGGACCCTTGACTAATTCATTTAAACAATACATTTTTGTGAAGGAGCATATCAGCATGAAACGATCTTTAGGTTCTCTGCTATTTGCCTTTTTGCTGTCCCATATGCTGTACATCACCAAAACTAAAGAAATATAAACTAAAATTGATATCTCAAGTGTCATTTGCCTTACCACATGTACATGTACATGTACACTGTACCTGATCTGATTGAAGTTCTTGTAGGGCTGTCTGTCAACTCAATTGAATCATCAGATATACATGTTGGTAACGTATAGGGGACGAAGCTACCCTGTCCCTGGACTTGCCCATAAACAGTTGCCATCAAATCAAATTGATTGCAACTCATCACAACTCTGTACTAAAGAGACAAGAGTTTGTAAGTTTGCAATTGATATTTACTGGAAAACTTGCAATTAATAGTGATCAGTGATCAGTCACAACTATTTATAAGACACGGTCATGATCTCTTTATTCGCTTTTACTTACCTCAAATCATTGTCTTTACTTTATAAAATGAGTTATACTGTAAGTGTTGTAAACGATAACCGGTGTCACTTCTTCCTTCAAAAATGCTTTATGCATCTGTAATGCCTGCTGGATATTGAGATAGATTAACTCTTTACCCACTTTGCTTGACCAGTGGACCAAAGACTGGACTACCAAACTCAACATTTGTCACACATACATGTACATTGTACATGTCTAATACACTCCAAATTGAATTGGCCATGTTGGGTTGTTTCCATGTTGAACACAAATTTATCAACTTCCATAGCATGTTTGAATCCACGTGATATGGAAATGAAATACATAGTATCCTAATAATTCCTCCATTATTGTTTAACAGGTAAAACTCAGAATCTAGAGAATGCCTTTGAAGGATCAACAACCGATGTTGGACAACTTGCCCTCGCTATGTATGCTGGTCTGTTTGCCTATGGTGGCTGGTAAGTATCTGACCTTAAAGGAAAATGTGGTACATTTACGCCAAGTCTTGGCTGAGTATCTTGTCCTTTTAAATAGTAATGATGATGGTGGGGGTGGTGGGGATGGTGATGATGAATCATGTCTTTATGGGGCATTATACAGACTCTCTATGCACTTTACCAATAATAAAAATAAAGAATCTTCATCTGAGTTTAAAAAAGATGGTATTGCTTCACAGACAATGCAGTGATTTCAGCAGGTTTATACTCCTCCCTTTTTTTTTTGAGGGGGGGGGGGAGTTGGAATGAGTGCATTGAAACTTAATACCTTTGCTCCTCAAGTATTATCCCAGATGTTACTTACAATGGATTTACCGTAAGTAGGGTTTCAGATCGGTAGAGACAAATTACATTATGTGTCATCGGTGCACATGTATGTATTACTATTGCCCGTGAAGTTTGAATAATTTTACTTAGGCCTCTTTTCGTGAAATAAGTTTACTTACCTCTTTTCGTGAAATAATTTAGACAATATGGTTTAGTCTTCCTCAATAAAATTCACATGAATATCTTCTCAGAACCTTATTGATCGATCTGAAGAGTCAAAGAGATTGTTCCATAAAGTTTTGAGAAGTTATACACTTTATCTATCAAGAAAGAATGAACCATATTGCCATGTTTAATTCATGAAAAGAGGTAGGGAAACATGCCAATTTTATGGGCAGTGGTGTACATGTATGAATACAAGCTGGAGTATAACTATGTATAATATTGTTTTTCTCCGTCTACCTTTCCCTCCTACCAGGAACTATCTGAACTACGTGACAGAGGAACTCAAGAATCCTTTCGTGTACGTATATATACTGTGTTTACGAGTTTAAAGATAAAGTTGAGTTCTGTAAGGCGATTGCACTGTGAAAGAAACGGTGTGGAATCGACCAGAAAAGGTTGATCATATAAGTATTCGTGTGTACTGCAAGGTTCTGGAATCATCAAAATGATTACAAAATTGCCCAGTCTTGGTAAAGTAACAAGCACTGTACATAGAAAGATGTATATGGGACTACACGAACATGTGGATTAAAAAAAATCTGTCCCGATCTTTATGATGGTACATGCCATATTTAGAATATTAAGGCATTTGAAGAGCCATGCTTTTCAGGGAACATTTTTTATCTGATGTTCTTCCAAACTTGCATAATACAATGATAACGGTCACAAATTATTTTTCACCTCTTCCCAGAACTCAAGCTTCTCTTTAAGCCAAGATCACCTTTCTGCTTTGTTTATGAATGAGCTTCTGGACTAAATGAGGCTATTTAAAATGGTAAAAATGTCTAAAAACGGATTACAATCTGTACACGTAATACAATTTTACAAATATGCAACATTATTTGTTTAACAAGTCCACATTTATTATGAGGATACCAAAACTTTTTTCTTTTGTGTTTTGTTCTGTTACTGCTATGGGTTTATATTCATGATTGTTATTGCATCTTGTTGGTACCAAACAGGGCCTCATGGCAGACCACCACAGTTGGTGAAAATGTGCTACCCTGTATAAATGTCAGAAATAAATACATAAAAGCTATATAAAATTGATTTAAAATATGGAATGATAATCATAATCATATCTATTATTACAAGAGTGCCCAGCTTTACCTCATGCAGACATGCTATTAACATTTATGAAAGCGATAAGCTTTTAAGTTGTAGTTGGGATGCTTATCAGATGAATACAAATTTGAAGTTTTCAAATCATCTTATCAATTTTTGTAATAATTTGATTAATTATGATAAAGAGTTATAATTCACAGCTGAAACCTGTATTACACTTGCTTTTCCAATAAATATATCAAAATGCTTTCTAAAACTTAATATTAAGATCTAGCATTGTACAGATCAGTAAACTAGGGTCCATCTCATAAGCACTTGCTGTAATTGCAACTTATAATCAGCGACTGTTACATAAGAGGTGGGGAACTGCAAACTTGCGATTGATTAGAGGATTTGGATTGTTTCGGATCAATTGCATCTTTTTATAATATGTGGCCCTGGACTATTGCTATCACCCGAAAATTAATTATGTTTGTGGTAATACAAAAAAAAAAGTTTGCAAGAATTATAGATGATTTAGTGGTAAGATTTTTTTTAAAGATGCCAAGGTAGTCAACACAAGTGGTAAAGAAAGGCTTATCTCATTATTAATAAACAGGTATGACACTGTTACAAATGAAATTACATAATATCGAAATGGCCTCAATGCATGTAGAAACATGATAGCAAGTACTCGATATTGACCACGCAGGTGGCAATCCAGTTTCAAAGGTACCTGTAGTTATGGGGTAACTATGTTCATTGAAAAATATCTATATTTACCAAATAACTGAAGGCAATAATTTTATGAATGACAATTCTAGGAATCATTTGCCAGATGGCACAAACAAAAGGCTTCCTGATGATTAGATTTGGCAGTTAGATAAGGTCTTCTTGCAGGAAATTTACTGTATTTCTCTTGAATGTATTTTAAAGGAACAGTCTTAGATTTACTTATAAGAAAATGTACCATACAATGTGTAACATTTTCATGAAGATTTGGCTTCGTTTGCTATCATGATGTTTGCGCATGATATTTGATGATATTTTTTACCTGACTGATAAAAAAAAGCATTAATATGCCTGTAAGTAAACAAGCGGGGGACCGACTTCATTAAGTCCTCTCCGAGGGACTTGGTAATGAGGATTAATGCCTTACCAACGGACACTATAGCGCATCGACTTGGTTTCGAACCTAGGACCTCCTGGTTACGAGACCACTGCTCTACCACCTAGCCATCGCGCCTCCAGTTTTGATCTTATTAGACAATGTATACATACTCTCAAAAAATATCTAGTGACACAAAGACATAACTCCATATTTTGCCAAAATAAGTATTTGATATCAAAATGTTCAGAAAAATGTGGGCTCTCCAGAAAACACAAAGACTTAACTCCACCCAACACCCCATTGAAGTCAATGGCTAGTGAAACATAGAATTAACCCTTGGCCCAAGTGCTGAGTGACACATAAACCACTTTGGCTCAAAATGGAGTTACGTCTTTGTGTCACTGAACCGTCAACATTGTCATTATTTTATACCAAATTTTGTTTCTTCTACTGTCCTGCAGGAATCTTCCAAGAGCCATCCTTATCTCTGTACCAACAGTCATCTTCATCTATGTAGCAGCCAACGTCTCCTACTTCATTGCTATGTCTCCTGCAGAACTCCTGGCCACGGATGCTGTAGCAGTGGTAGGTTGCTTATACGGTGAAACTTGTCTATAAAGACCGCTGAAGGGAAACATGATAAGTGGTCTTTATAGGCAGGTGGTGGTTATTTTACCTCACTGCTAAAAAAGCATACGGTAAGTGCTTTTTAGTAAGCAACCAGAGGACCGACGGCTTTAGGTCCTCTCCGAAAGACCTGGTAATGAGGATTAATGCCTTACCAAAGGGCACTTACCAAAGGGCTGGTGGTCTTTATGTACAGGCTCCTTCAGTACAGGTTGAAATTAAAAACCATTTTCAAGGGAAACAAAAAATGTGGTCTTTCGATACAGGTGGTCATTAAAGGAGGTTTGACTGTATAATATGAATAAGTGCCTCTAAGGGTGAGGGTGAAGATTTTATTTCATTTGTAAGGGCTTGTTTCTTGGGAAACTTGGGAAATGGCTTGTATTGTCATTTACAATACCAATCTTGTATTACTGTATCTTGGTTTCTCACAGACCTTTGGTCAGAAGCTTCTAGGAGTGATGGGTTGGATAATGCCAGTGGCGGTCGCCCTCTCGACCTTCGGTGGGGTCAACGGACTTCTTCTAACAGGATCCAGGTAAGAAAGGGGATTTTGTTGGGTCCTCTGACCTTTGACCTCTTACCGATGGATGATCTGGGAGAACTGTGGTGCAGTGGTTCATCCATTAGACTTTCAGTTGAGAGGTTGAAGGTTCAAATCTTTGCCTGATGGAACATATGTCTGTAGATAATCCACTTACGTACAGTTGTTTCGCTGTAATCTACACTATAAAACAGATTAGTTTTAGTCATTAATCATGTGAAGTAATTCATTTTTTATTTCACCTAAGCCTCTTTAGTATTTTCAAGAGAAATATATGTGTACTTTCATGGTGATGATAGATTTGAGAGAGGTTTGCGGTTACACCACACACTCTTTTGACAAGGTGAGTTGGGCCTGAAAAGCTATTCTAGAACCTATACCATGCTTTAGAAAGCTTACCGGTACGTAAAATTGTTGAACTGTTTGTTATGTTAAAAATAGCATATTTCTGTAGTAACAGTTATTCCCTAACATGCAGTGTCCAAAGTTTTTATCTGCAAATTGTTATACATTGCCTTTTGTCAATTTTCCCCACTATTTTCTGCCTGTAGGATCTACTTTGTTGGAGCTCGTATCGGCCACCTGCCAGAGTCAATCGCCATGATCAGCATCAACAGGAAGACACCCTTACCGTCTCTCATGTTCACCGTGAGTATAGCCGGCCAACCAGGGCCAAGCTTTTAAAGGGACACCTGAACTTTATAGAAAATTGCTTCAGGTCAAAGATTTAAAAACAAAATGATAATGAAGATTGTGTATTATGTCACATTACCTTAAAACCAGAAATTTTCACATGCATCAAATGTTTGTGAATTTCACAATTGGTTAGGATATGTAAAGTTTCATGCGGAGAAATAAGTGATAATACCACCCCCCCCCCCCCCCCCCCCCCAAAAAAAAAAAAAAAAAAAATTGGGATTCACAAAAGTATCTTGCCATGGGAAATGCTGTCATTTTTGCCAAAGTGCATGCCATGAAAGATTCTAGTCTTACATTTGCGATATTTAAAGTTTGGTTCTTCTTTATAAGTCTTGTGAAAATAGTCACCATGCCTAATCCATAACATTCTTTTCTCCTTTTGATACATGGCATTTCTACTTGTGATACCAGCATGGCTAAAGCACATAATGAGGGTGTGTTTAATGCTTAAAATATGCAAGTTGAGTCAATTTGATTGTCATGATTCAATTCGGTTATACTCATTGTAGTCCAAGAACCTGCAACAGACAGAAAAGTTTGCCAGAAAATGCACTGTCAGGAAGAATGAGATATATTAGGTAGTTCTGGGACCCGTTTCACAAAGCTTTTTTTTTTTCAATGACAAATGACAAAAATCAGTGACAAATCTGCTGATAACCAATCAGAACCAAGGAGTTCAGCAGCTTATAACAAAAACTGTCATTTGTCACTGATGACAAGTTTCGTGAAATGGGGGCCCAAGTGCTGCCTTTGAAGTTTGGAAGGCATCTAGACAAAGGTCACCCAAACAAACAAAACCAGACAGTAAAATACATGATGTGAACCACATTGCCTGTTGAGACCCAGTAGGTCATTAACTATGTCTTGTACCTATCACTTATAAAAATAATTGTTAGACATCTAGAATGCATGAAATCTACCTCAAAAACTTCATCGGATTTCTGTCGGTGATCAGATATTAAAGGAGTGTGGAGAAAATAAAGAATGACAATGAACCGTGCACAACCTAGGACTTGGGTTCTGTTCATGCCTTACTTTGTATGGGTGCATTGAGTAGTCTACTCACAAGTTGCTTTTATGTCAATTCAGAATGTATTTAAACTTGCAAAATTTCAATACAGAAGTATTATTTAAAGCTCATAATTTGAATTTATTACTATGAAATGTCACTACTAACATACTAAACAAATTCTTTCTGCGTGATTGGCACACTTTAAAGCCCCACTGCACTAGATAAGCTTGGAGGGATTAGACAACCCAGCATGGTCACTGACAGGTGGTTATCTCATCAAATCAGCTTGCAATTAACATAAGAAAAAGAGGATCATGGGGGACCAATGGTCACCGCTTAAGCATTGTTTTCTATATAGAGGGAGCAAGTAGCTACAAGTAGTACAGTGGGGCTTTAAATGGGATATGAGATAGAGCTCTGCTGGGTTCTTCAGACTCCCAGCAGGTGAATTATCTTTGTATAACCCTGGGTTAATCCGAGGGGGGGGGGGGGGTCACTCTCTTACACAAGTGCTACCCACCTATGTCCATAAACCTCTGAAATGAGCCTTAAAGGTAAAGACCAGTATTGGAAACGCCCCAATTTCAAAAAATGAAATGGAAGCTCTCATTACCAATCATGTGAAAGAATATGTTTTGACTAATACATGATGATAAAAAATTTGCCGGGAAACCGCCTACTAATTCATATATTTGGTAAATTTGTTTCTCTCATGGTCTGTGAGAGATATAGGGTAGTCCCATATACATCTTTCTGTGTATAGTGCTTGTAACTTTACGAAGAATGGGCCAAATTTCTCATCATTTTGATGATTCCAGAACCTTGCAGATGCTAGATGATCAACCTTTTCTGATCGATTCCACAATGTTTCTTTCACAATGCAATCGCATGACCATAACTGGTCTTTACCTTTAATGGTGTATTGCACCTTTTCTGAAATTTACCCTTTTTAACGTTGAAACCTGAAAAGGTATCCTTTTTTTTTTTTTTTTTGTGCGATCAGTGCTTGAAAAATGCCCTTTTTTTAGGAAAACGTCGATGACGCAGTATAGCTGAAAAAGACACCTTTTCTGGATGCGGGTTTGTAGCCAGTCATGTTGGCAGTGACCCCCCCCCCCGGGTTAATCCTGCATATATCCAGATGTAGTTTCAGGAAGTGTCCACCGAAACGTGTCACCTTCGTTTCAACTTTTGAAGGATAACTTTTCATAGCAGTCTGAGAGCATCACAAAACAATGGTGTATGACCAAAACAAGGTTGGACTCTGGAAAAACAGTACAATTTTGGCAATAACAAAGCGTCACTAACAAAGCGTCACTAACAAAGCGTCACTTTTACATCACCTGCTTTGGCTCTTCCGATTGATTCACTAGTTGCACAGGTATGCCATATTCAAGGTATACCCTCCCATGCATGATGCACAAGCTGCAGTCTACATTGTATTACCCCCAAATATATTTCTCATTTCGTCATTCATTTTTCATACATACTGTCTGTATGCATGAACTTATATGTATGCATGCCTACTTAAAATCTTCACAATTTTAGGGGGTCCTTTACTGGCATTTCGGGCACCTTTTAGGCAATCAGATTTCCCATAAAACAACAGCCTCTGTTCATTCTGCTGTGTGGCATATTTGTCATACTGTGATCAAATGAAGGTGTCCGCAAATGCCAGCCAAGATAACGATAATCTCGTTGTGAAGGGTTTAGTCATGCTTAACACCTGTTGATTCTGTGCTCAAACTAATTTTATTAACCCCAGCAATCGTGAATTTTCACCGTGACTTTGTACCTTAAAACACCTATTCAGAAAGTGATTTCCTCTTCAAAACACTAAAATCCTAGAATGTTGATTAGTTAAAGCTAGGTTAATTATAGTAAAGTGCTGAGAATCATTAGTATTAAAGGGATCCGGTAACTTTGTCTTAGATCCTTTAAAAAATCATTGATTTAGCTCATGCTGCAGTGATAATTATAAACCTTTAGGTCAGTCAGGAACCCCATGACTTTTACAAGATTATCAAGATATTTATGATTGAAAATTGAAATCAAATTTTGCATTTGCCAAACGGTTTTCATAACACTACAGTCTATTGGGGAAAATGAGTATGGTAAAACTGGTTTCTCAAAGGTTTTTACTTTTTTGAGGCACTTGATCATTTTGAGGCGCAATTTTTTTAGGGCTTCAATATAACACCATATCACAAACGCTGATAACACGTAGGGCCGTGCATCTCAGATTTAACATTGTTAAACGATCCCTTTAGGCACTATACTACTGTGTCTCGTACAGAGCAAAATGGTAAAGAAAGCATAGAATTTGTGTTATGTATAAACTTTAAAATTCCAATTGTGTGGGAAAATTAACTTGTTCTTCTAATTATAATACCAGTATCTATTAAAATAAAAGAATGTATTACAAAATTTCAAGTTGAAATAAATTTTGTTTAATTGTCCATAAAGGCATCCTCAAATATTTGGATTGAAATTGGGAGGATTTCAAGCAAAATGAATACAAGTGAATGAGTTTATATATTTACAAAATGTGTACTCCTTTAGCTTTTTTAAAAGTGCATTTATGAAAGGCACGGGGGAAAAAGATTACTAAAATCATGCACAATTCTCATTTTTGAAAAATATTTCAGTCGCTTCAATTTCTTGCCTGTTGTCCCATTTATGATATAGTGGATTAATTTTTTCATCATATCCTAAAATAGCACTTGTATTTCCAAGTAATTGCAATAAAGTGGGGGTGTAAGGTGGGCAGGGAAGGACTGTTATAGGCGGAAGGGATCGATATGCTGGTATAGCAGCTATAGCTAGTTAGAGACGTCACCAGGCCCAAGATGTGTGTTGCATTATGCAGGTACTTCTGGCAATGATAGATGCAACGCTATCTTATTACCACAGAAGATTAAGCCAGTAATAATGTAATGAGAGGATTTGTAAATATGTGTATCTCAAGAAAGCTTTGACAATGCACAAAGTGTCACTTGTGATTCATATTTCTTTAAATTCGTGCTTACTTACACAGAAAGAAAGCTCTTACTCCAAAGCATTCAAGTACTCAGATATCAAAAAATAACCATGCTATTTGACACGTGTTCCAGACCTCAACTCTTTTTATAAATCCCACTCCTACATGTCCTTTTTATAAAAATCAGTACATTCCTTTAAAGCCCCACTGCACTACTTATAGCTACTTGTGCCCTCTATATAGCAAACAGTGCCTAATTGGTGCCTGTTGGTCCCCCATGATCCTCTTTTTCTTATGTTAATTGAGAGCCGATTTGATGAGATAACCACCTGCCATTGACCTTGCAGGGTGGTCTAATCCCTCCCAGTCAAACTAGTGCAGACAGGCTTTAAATGCAATGTATTCTTTTAACCTCATGTTTATTTTCCGCTCCCTCTATTCATCCTGCAGTGCATCCTATCCCTGCTCTACCTGTTCGCTCAAAACATCGGTCAGCTGATCAACTACTTCAGCTTTGTCACCTGGTTAGCCACTGGGACGTCCATCGCCGGTCAGCTCTACCTCAGGTGGAAAGAACCGGACATGGCCAGGCCTGTGAAGGTAAGGAGGATACCCAGATAGCTTGCCCGACATGGCATCTGGAAGTTATGTAATGTCCAAGATTAGCTTGAAGGATCATCTATGTTTAGGCTGGGGATTTTTTTTTTTTAAGGGGGGGGGGAATGCCAAACAAAGGAGTGTACAAAAAAGATGGAGAAGGAATTGAAAGTTAGGTCAAGGATGAGTACTGTAAGACTAACTTGATGAAATTAAAATTAAAAAAAAGCATTGTAATAGCATCTAATCATTATTAGCTTTGAAATTTCATTTAGCAAGGTAGATTAAAGATGAAGTTGAGTTCTGGTCATGCGATTGCATTGTGAAAGAAACGGTATGGAATCGATCAGAAAAGGTTGATCATCTAGCATATAAGTATTGGTGAGTACTGCAAGGTTCTGGAAAGATCAAAATGATAAGAAATTTGACCTAGTCTTGGTTAAGTTACAAGAACTGTACACAGAAAGATGTATATGGGACTACATGAACATGTGGCATAAAAATCAGTCCTGATTTTTACGCTGATACATGTCATATTTAGAATATGAAGGCATTTGAAGAGCCATGCTTTTTAGGGAACATGTTTTATATGATGTTCTTCCACACTTGCATAATGACATTGATAACGCTCACCAATTATTATTCACCTCTTCCCAGAACCCAACTTCCTCTTTAAAAGCACACTGAAAATCGAATCATCAAGTTAAAAAATCCTAAAGGAAACAATAAAATCCAAACGAACTAAAGAACTCAAGTTTAATTCATAACTGCTCCAACATCTATAATTGCAAGACTTGTTAATTGAAGAAATGGGTTATGTCATGAAAAGCCAATGCTTAGTCCTTGTGACTGTTTTGAAATTGAATTATTTCACCACATTTAATTTAAAATGACTGCAATATACTAGTAAATGGGATTACATTGTGGTTAGTATCTTGGCACTCCCCCAAGACAACTTTTAGGGAAACAAAATAAAAAACATTTCATGCTTCATTAAATTATCCTAAAAATAAGTGGCTCCAACAACTATAATTGCAAGACTTGTTAATTGATGAAATGGGTTATGTCATGAAAAGCCAGAGCATTTGGTGTACAACTCATTGTGACTGTTTTGAAACTTAATTATTTCACAACATTTAATGTAGAATAACTGCAATATACTAGTACGTGGGATAATACATTGTGATTAGTATCTTGGCACCCCCCCCCCCTTCCCCAAGACAACTTTTAGTGCAACATAATGAAACACATTTCATGCATCATTAAATTATCGTAAAATTAGATGGATAGGGAAAAAAATTAAATTCTGAAACCATAGAAATATTGCTTTGCCATTGTTCATTTTTTGGTATTTGCTTTCTCCAGAACATCAAGGACATGCATATAAGGTATTTGCTAATGGTATGGTGTAGAAAACAAAACTTAAGTTGAGTTTTGCCATGCAGTATAACATGTCAGCCATGATATTTCAATCCTAGTACCAGCATGTATACACTGAATATGGAAATAAAAAGTTAACCTTACTCGGGTCATTACAGATAGACTACCGGCACATTCATGAAAATAAATTTGAAGTCTTTAGATATAAGGCAGTAAATATTAATGATGTGAATGATGCGGTTATTGATCTTTCATGATGCCAATTATGTTTATGACAGGATAGACATTAGACTCCTTAAACCTGTGCTTAAAAGGCAATACAAAGTTTTGGGAAATTTTAAAAATTGGCTGGATAGCGATTCTTTACAATTTTGATATATTTGGATGTATTATAAGCTCTAGAAAATTTAGCCCCTAAAACACTTCTGCTTTCGAGAAGAGTAAAATATCCTAAATTACCGGTGGTCCCGGTAAATTTTGATAAATTTCAAATAGCGCCTACTGCCATACAATGGTAGCTGCGACCATGAAAATCTCAGAATAAGTAGTTGTGATATATAATTTCCAAACGGGAATAGCCAATCATTCGATTTTAGTCAAGAAACCTTGATTTATAGCTAAATTAATATCTTGACCTTGAGAGGGAGCTATACAACTAACGAGTTTAATTATAATTTCATTACTTTTGACGCTTACAACCGCGACAACATTCACTGAATATTGTAGGATCGCATATGCTTGCAATATATTCATTTGAACCAAATTCATTACCCCATACCAAATCTTTGTATTATCTTTAAGTGATTTTTTTTTTTTTGGGGGGGGGGGGGTGATTTAAAAAATAAAAAAAATTATCAATGTTGAATAGTGATTTTTTTTTTTAAATTGCATTTGAAGAAAAAAAAAAATCAATAATCCCCTTCCTGTATATACATGCAGGTGTGAGTTGTAAGAAGATCAATAACGGGATTGATTAGTATGTTATGCAGCCTCTCCTAAGAGCACCGTAGAATGTGATACAACAAAAAATGAATTTGTAACTTATAGCTATTCAGTTTTTATTACAGGTATACAATGAGTTGGTCGTCTGAATGAGGATTCAGAAACTATGGGATCACAATGCCTCTTGAAAGAAAATATGGACTAGCATGGGTCTGTGAGACTACAGTTAATGCTCCTCAAAAAGAAAGTGTGGGAAATTAAAAATTGATACCCTTTGCAAATCAATAGCATAATCCAGTTTAGAGTTGTTAACACAACAAGGATGTTATTCATCTGACAATTGTATATATATAGTCTCTCTCTGTTTGACGTCTGTTCATTGCAGACATTTTGGAATGCTGCCAAATTCAATTAGCATTTGGCACCTTGCCCATAGACATACATGTATACATAGTACACATATAGTACGTAGACTGGACAAGGTCACATAATTATGCTCTCATGTCGATACTACTTACATTGTATATGTACTTGCAGTACCAAATTGGGGGATTTTGAGTCATATTTGTAGGAAGTTGATTAGAAAAATGATGATGTCATGATTTGTGTGATGGGCGTGATTCAAGTTTACTAGATCATCACTTTGGCAGCGCATGGGATTGCATCATCTGTGCAGAAGAAAAAAAGTGTCTGAGATATATTAAGAATGTCTTTGCATTATATCCCACAACACATGATGGACTAAAGAAAATGAATGGACAGATCGTTCTTTGTTGAATTGGTACACATTTCAGGCTAATATGATATGAAATACAAAGTATATATGATATTGATTTCAACAACACAGAGCTTAAAGTGTTGTATCAAGGATCCTATTTTTTCAAATTTATTGAAGAAGAAACAAAAAAATATATACACATGGTAATGTACATAATGTGAAGGCATAGTGCAAATATTGAATGATTGATACTAACGCTTTATGTTCAATGATAGATTCTGCATGTAATGTCCATAGAAAGAATGTCATTGCTTTAACTGAGGCATGAAACGTGTTTTAGATAAAATCATTATTGGCGAAAGGAAAAAAGGAAAAAGAAGGGAAGAGAAAACAAACAAAAAATTATCTAAATTTTGTTGCCCTTTAAAAATAAGTTGTTTGTATTCAATTTGATTTATTACTTCCCTCAATAAAACTTATTTTTGTTTTTTTGTTAATGTACCGGTAGTAGTTGACAGAAATTTAAATTGTCCATATTGCAATATGACATCCAACACCTACAGACTGAAGAGTATCCCTTTCTTCTTGATCTTAAACCAAGCTCGTAAATTGTGAAATTGGGTACCTTGGAACGACTTTTATGAAGAAGATCAATAAACGTGAGCAAATAGAATTAATAAAATAAATATGAAACAAACCTTGAGAATATTTTGTAATACTTGTTTTGTAGAGGATAGAAGCAATAATAATAGTAGACCACATTTATAACGCACCTAACATTTTGTTTGTAGGCACAGTATATATACTATAAGTGATATTACCCTGGTTATCGGATTCAGGCTTATCCGCACACGATGTATGCACATTCTCCACTCCCTGGGGAGCAATATACATATGTCACTACCATTTGTTTCAGAAGAGAATAAAATACAATAATTCTTGATTTCCGTTTTCTCTTCCCAGGTGTTCATTCTCTTGCCCATCATCTTCTTGTTAGCCTGTATCTTCCTGACTGTCATGGGGGTCTATGCCGCTCCCGTCGACACCCTCATCGGTGCGGCCATCTTGCTCTCGGGGGTTCCCGTCTACTTCATTGGAGTCTGGTGGACAGCCAAGCCCACCTGGTTCCTCAGCGCTGTCCGTAAGTTTGACCATTACTCTTCTTGAGGGACCATTCACCCGAAAAAAGTATAATTTATGTGCAGCTAGTATTTTTTAATGTCAACCTTTGAAAAAGAAAAAACCTACTATTTATTTTATAAGTGAATGGTTATTGAATATGAAGAATATAAAGGATTAAAAAAATACTATTAATATTAATATTACTACTACTACTCCTCTTCCTTCTTCTCCTCCTCCTCCTCCTCCACCTCCTCCTTCACCTCCTCCTTCACCTCCTCCTCCTTCTCCTCCTCCTCCTCCTCCTCCTCCTCCTCCTCCTCCACCTCCTCCTTCACCTCCTCCTCCTTCTTCTCCTCCTCCTTCTCCACCTCCTCCTTCACCTCCTCCTCCTTCTCCTCCTCCTCCTCCTCCTCCTCCTCCTCCTCCTCCTCCTCCTCCACCTCCTCCTTCACCTCCTCCTCCTTCTTCTCCTCCTCCTTCTCCTTCACCTCCTCCTCCTCTTCCTCCTCTTCCTCCACCTCCTCCTCCACCTCCACCTTCACCTCCTCCTCCTCCTCCACCTTCACCTCCTCCTCCTCCTCCTCCTCCACCTCCTCCACCTCCTCCTTCTCCTTCTCCTCCTCCTCCTCGTTTTCCTCCTTCACTACTACTAAACAACAGACTGAACCCAACTTGGACTTCTGGTCTGACTTTATTTAAATAGGGAGAATTTAAATGCAGTTTATTTTTACAGCAGTAATATTTAAGGCTATAATATGTAATAAAATTGTCATCTCTTTTTTTTTTTAAATTTTCCTTTCAGAATCCTTCACCATCTGGATGCAGAAGCTTCTATGCTGTGTTGCCGAGGAGAAAGAGGATTAACCTTGATGTTCTCTCAATTTATAATGAGAATTTGATCATTTGGGGTAAATTTATATCTTTGAAGGCAATTGCTAGCAGTGGATTGTCATTACCACTCTGGTGAAAACTGCTAGCTTTCTTTCCTGACGAGATAACTTGCCTTTTTGAAAAATCTGTTTAAAAAAAAAATGTGCTACTATTAGCCACAAAAACAAACAAATATTGGAATGGAGGGATAAGAAGGAACAAAGATGAGGGTCCTGTTTCTTAAAGCTTATAAAACAAAAAAAAGTTACAATGATTGATAAAAGCTACTGAAACCATCGTGTTTGCACGCTTGTTAGAAAATTGTTACTTAACATTGCCACTTGTTATTGCTTACAGATTTATAAAACAGGCAATTATTTTTTTGTTTCTATGTTCAGACATGCGCAAATGTATTTAAAAATGAAGAAAAACACGTGATTATCTTTATTGTCATCTTTGTGTATTTTTGAACATGGAAATGATTTCAAGTTTTATTCATCACTAAATATGGTAGGTCGGGCCCTCTAAAGCCATAGAGGTCTTGTAATTTCAACCAGAAGCTGGTAGATTGTTTGACTTTAATATATATCTGTACAAAGCTTTCTGCTTGAAACATGTTTGTGATATTACAAAAAATGAGTGTGATTTATAAAAGAGCACCTCTGTGCTGCGAAAATCTTAGGCTAACCCTTCCAAAAGTTCTGATGTTGCAGGTTAAATAAAACAAAAAGAAGATTTGAGGAATATTTTGATTTTGATGGGGAAAAGTATTTTATGGAGGTTTGTTGAGGTAAGATATTTGATGCATATTGCCTTCTTTAAAATGCCATCCCATTAGAAGTAAATCATATTATTTTTGAAAATTATATCTTTGGAAATAAATGATTCTAACGCAAATGAGCAGGTAAAATATTAATTTGACTACTGAATAACACCGTCCTATATCATTAAAAGTATTATATATTGACCTCACTATTAGGTGATAAATCGGACGTTACTCTTCATCCCATGTTAAATGCATTCCAAGACCATGAAAACTCAAGGAATGCTTGTTTTGTTATCCAGAAAAAATCTTGCAGAACTTTTATTCAAATTTTGCTGCTTCATTCCATCCAGACATTTGATATGTCATTTCTTTTTAAATCTTGAATGTTCCGCTTGATCGTTCAAATGTTCCAGAATCACTGAGCAAACTTGGACTTATAAGGGTATTTCACATCTTGTATTGTGTTTAATCCTAATAAGCAATCCATAGTTTTGTTCAAAAATGTAATTCTTAACTTCCTAGGGCAATATTTTGTCACACAAATGGAATAATAATAATAATAATAATAGTGGGTTCTTGTATAGCGCTCATGTCTGTCAGACTTGACACTCCTGGCACTCCCGATTGGGTCTGATTTGTTATAAAAATCGACAGGATGGGTAATATTCTTCTCTCTAAAAGTGTTCATGTTCTTTGATTAATCGCATTTGAAAATGATGCCATTGTTGTTGCTTGAAATCTATTTTATTTTTTGGAAGGGGTGCGATGTGATGTAATTGGAAGGACTAACGATTTGGATGGATAAATGGATAAATTAATCTTTTCTGCATATGAAGTTAGCCTTGGAATTTCATAAAATAATATTTTGATTAACTAACGAGCGTAAAAGTCCCCTTAGACAGCAGGGTATGCATGTTCCACTGTCCATTTATAGTAGTACGAGCTTGAGGCATGTGCAATATTTTACAGCGCCTGTAGATTTCTAAAGAGCCATCGAAAGTGGTTTTGATAGAATTATGTCCGCTTTTCATTCTAATTGTACTTATTCAAGCTTATTGCTCTTGCTATACAAAAGATCAAAAGTAATCCTCTCGTCCATTATTGTGATTTATGAGGAAAAAACTCATCAAAACTGAAATGTATGGTCTTGTCAAAAGATCTATTATTTATTCCTACAGAGCGAGAAAAATTAATGAAAACTATAATAAAAAAAAAGGTCATAATCTTTTAAAAAGTGAAGAAAAAAACATGCTCATTTGTAAATTTGTATCATACAAATGTTTTTTGCATCAGTCTTGTTTGAATTCAAGATAGACTGTAAATGGTTTTCCTTATGTGCTCTTGTCTAGTTTGCCTTTTTTCTTCTTCTTGTTTTCCAAAGTTTGTATTTATATGACCTTTGTATCATTTGCTCTCTTTAGTTCACTCATTCTTATTAGCTAACACAAACACCTTGTAAAGTAGATGTATTTTGAGTTTTTGAATTTTTGAAAGCTATTTATTATTCCAAATACGTTGCTACCTTCTCATTTAATGGTGAAAACAACAGTTTCCATTAAACAGCTCTTTGGTGCCTAGGTATTTATTCACAACTATTTATTCTCCCTTTTTTTTCTTTCTTATGCTTCGTCATTAACACTAAGCTTTGTCATCTTAGAGTACTATTATTTTATTGAGCTCTTTTGTCAGAGTATTTTATTCTGATTTTGAAGGAGAGCCACAAAGATGTTGAGACATATCGTTTAACTTCCTTCTGGTCCTCAACAGACTTTTTTTTGTGTGGTTATTTATTTTCAGCAAGATGAAGTTATGGCACCTAGCTATCTTTCTGTTAAAGTACAAGAGAAATTTAACATAGATTCCTCTTAAGCCAAGTTCAGACACGACTCTTTTAACCACCTCAAAGGATAAAATGACATTAGCATAGTGTGCATCTGAAATCTGTTTATCATAACACAGAGATTACAGTTCATCCGGTTATTTTTTATTCCTGCTTGCCATTCATCTATTTATTTACCCGTAAAATAGTTTTTATTTTGCAGCAGCGTTTTTTGAGGTGAATTACAGAGTTACGTGTGAACAAGCCTTCTTGGGCAATTCCTTGAATGTCTGTATGCCTTTGATTTTTGTTGTACCGGTACTTTGTCATTTTTTGTTTTGAAATATATCTTTTTTGTTTATTTTGTTTAGGGTGGAGTAGATTGCGAAACTATAAGTCGTTAAGTTCAGAGATTTAAGAGTGCACAAATTTTGTACAAAGCTTTTTTCGAATTTTGCGTTTGTTTCTGTAAATAACAAAGAACGTGTGAAGAAGAGTAGATGATTATTTTGTTGATAGATGGGTAGATATTTTGCGTACATCAGAGAAGATACAATTTTAGATTATGTTTTCTGTATAGGTGTATTTATCTTGCTATAAAATTCATGCACATCTGAAATAAGGAGTCTATTTATGCATAAGGATTCTAAGTTATATAGACAAATTATAAGGGATGGGAGGTAAATCTACAGATTTGTAAATTTTGTACAGCAGCATGGCTTGTTCTAATACCTCTCGTGTAGAGTTGAGTTAAAGGGTGTAGTTAGGATTGAATTTAAAGCTGCTTTAAATGCTAAGCCTGTAACATGGAAATGCTTTGTAAATTGCTGTGGAATCATTTGATTAATTTTATGATGCTGGGGGAAAACAAATGTAAATTGAGCTTCTGGAAGTGATCATGATTTTTCGACTGCTGGCGAAAAAAATAACAATGCTTGTTAATTTTTGATTTAGATTTGGGAGTTTGCCAGGATATGAGTTTCCAGGCATGTTGTAGCTCTCTGCTTTATAGTTGAAACAAAACAAAAGATGTGTCTTTGTGTAGAATGTAGATGTTTATTGTTTAGATAGCATTTGATTTGCCAGGTTATGAAAAGGAAAATAAAAACATTCTGCATACAGGGTCTTTACTAATCATCAGAGTTTATGTTGACTGGAAAATGGTCATATTGTTATTAATTTGTGATTATTTTGTAATTTTTGCAGAAGGCATTATTCTTGCATGAAATAAGTGTTATTCGTGGTTTGAGTTGTACTGATATCTTAAAATCTTCTCACTTATTAAAGGGAACGATTGCGTGAGGTTAAGCGGTGTTTGTGTGTGTGTACACTTTGTACGATAAGTGACTTCAAACTTTGTTTTTGTCAGCAATAATGGAGATGCCGTTGTCTTCAAACCCATGAATTAAAAGTAAGGTGATAATATATATGGCATGTACAAACAAAAGCTGCAAATTGAAAAGAATGGCATTCATGTAAGTAATAAGTATATACCGGTATTTTGTGTGAGGTGTGTTGTGTCTCTAGAGGATAAATGTCAAAACTATCGAGTCTGCACAATCATGTAGATCAAGAGTAACAGGTTATGTCACAATATATGTGTATGGTGGTAATCATGATGGGAAAGCAATCGAGCTGGACTGGCTGAAAGTTATAATAGACTATGTGTGCTCTTTTACTGCTGAACCAAGTTGGATACTACCATTATATTGTCTATTTGGACCCAGAAGGGATTTAACGGTACATGTTTGTTTCAATCTATGAGTTTTATGCCTTTCTGTCTCTTACTGGGCATTATGCGGGGTTTTACCCTCCAAAAAAAAATCCTCTCCATGTTTCAGACCATATTTACTCCCATGGTGGTTACACAAGTTTTGTCTTCCCGAACCAAATGCCTGGTAGATATAAGAAATATGGCATTTCTGCTCGTCGTGATCTAGTTTAGTTAGTGTTGCTATGGCAAATACTGACAGTTCTCAAGTACAGAGAATTCTGTTGTATGTTTGGGACTGGTAAGATATTACATAGCAAATGATGATGAAGTGAAAAAATATTGCCGCTGAATTTTGAGGCAATATGGTCCTCTCTGGACCTACTGTGGCCATTAACATGTAATGAATATAATTTATATTGTAAAACACTATGTATTCCTATTATTAATTGATATACAGATGCATCATAACCTTTTCCTGATCTGCTGTACAAATCATTTTACATATTAACTCGCGTGTAATGTCCATATGAGATATGTCAATATCGTATAACAGACAAAATAGAATAATACACACATTTTTTCTGTGAAAAAGAAAAATAAGGGCTTGGAAGAAAAAGTGCCCTTTAAACAGTCTAAATATATATATATATGGTTTGTTGATATTGAAATGTTGATTGACCGTGTACAAATATGTAATTTTGATTAATAAACTGGATAATATATTGCATTTAATTGATAAGCCTATCTATTGTCTGCTCAAAAAGATGTTAATTTAATTCATTAATGCCCTTTTGGTTCTCAGCAGACAGTATTAGGCTTACCCCCCCCCCTTCCCTCAGCTGCCCCCCCCCCCCCATCTTCTTATTCTGTGTGGAATGACATCATTACCCTTATTACATTGCCAATAGGATTCAAGTGTTATACAGGGTAACATGAAATACTCCACTCGATGTGTATTGAATGTAACACCTTAATGTAGGTGCTTAAGGTTTCTGAACCTTTCATTGCATCAAAGGTGTTATAATGTACACCGCAACCTTAGCACTTAGCACCTTACACTTTTTTACTCGCCTCTTGTGTTATGTATCATGATAAAAATGTGTAAAAGAAAGCACCTGTCTCCAGCACCTGCCTTGCACATTAATCTTCCTCGTCATTGATAATACACTCCTCAGTTTACATTCTAGTGTTCCATTTTTTTACACTGCTCAACATCCTACTCAAAATAATGCTTGAGTGTGCATTGATACAACTAGGTACAGTTAAGGTGTACTTTCTTCAGTGTCTAAGTGTATATGTTACATAGGTACACTGCACAAATAATAAGAGTGTTAGTTGACACTGCTACAGTGTAGGTGTACCTGATTCAGTGTCCAATTTCAGTTTTTTTTTGGTGTGATTCTTGTCATTTGTTTTAAACTTTGTGTTCTTCCAAGTTTGTTGCTATGAATGAGTCAAAGTAACAACATAAATCATCATTACCCGTTCATAATAATTGCACTGAATGTTACTAAGCAACCGTCTCCATGCATACATATTACCTCATGGAAAAGCATACTTAGAATGATAGTGTCTGTGATTTGTATCGGTAATCCTTGTGTCGTGAATCGATATCACGATTTGGTATTGATGCAGTGAATTGTGAAATAATGTAATGAGATACATAAGGGTTGTATTGTAATATGGAGTACAGATGATTTGATGTGTAAAACTATTCTGTATGTTGCACAATGAGGTGCATTGACTTAAAAAGTAATGTGAGTGTACATGAATCTATGAGACACACTGTAGGAAAGTATTTTCCTTGTGGATTTTTTTTTTCTCTTCTCCTTTAGGCAGATAAATAAATGTTTTCTTCAAACAAAATTTGATGAGATTCAATGCATCCTTCATTCGTGTGCTCATTTAACAGTGAATACTTTTATGCTGTTTCAGTATGTTATACAATTTATACAATTTCAATGCCTGGGTCACACTGGGTTACAACGCAATCTTGAATTAATTGGACTGACACACTTACATGTAGGTTGGAAGTATGATAGATTTGAGCTGTTGGTGCATTCTCAAATGCCACGGAGATATAGCAGGATTCACACACAACTGAATTAAAAATTAGCCAATTGTTATTATGATAACACATGGACTGAGTAAAATGTTAGAGTTAAAAAGTGGGATGGAATCGAAGTTCGTAGAGAAGCAGGTAGTAAGAGGAAGAGAGAGAGAGAAAAGAGAGGGATGGAGAGAGGAGAGAGAGAGGGAGGAAGGAAGGAAAAGAGAGAGAGGGAGAAAGGAAGGGATAGAGAGAGGGAGAAAAGAGGGGTGGAGAGAGGAGAGAGAGAGGGAGGAAGGAAGGAAAAGAGAGAGAGAGAGAGGGAGAGAGGAGAGGGGTGGAGGAGGAGGAGAGAGAGAGAGAGAGAGAGGGAGGAAGGAAGGAAAAAAGAGAGAGGGAGAGAGAAGGAGAGGGGTGGAGGAGGAGGAGGAGAGAGAGGGAGAAAGGAAGGAAAAGAGAGAGAGAGGGAGAAAAGAGAGGGGTGGAGAGATGGAGGAAGGAAGGAAAAGAGAGAGAGGGAGAGAGAAGGAGAGGGGTGGAGGAGGAGGAGGAGAGAGAGGGAGAAAGGAAGGAAAATAGAGAGAGGGAGAAAAGAGAGGGGTGGAGAGAGGGAGGAAGGAAGGAAAAGAGAGAGAGTGAGAGAGAAGGAGAGAGAGAGGGAGGAAGGAAGGAAAAGAGAGAGAGGGAGAGAGAAGGAGATGGGCGGAGAGAGGAGAGAGAGGAGAGAGAGAGAGAGAGAGAGAGAGAGGAAGGAAGGGAAAGAGAGAGAGAGGTGGAGGAGGAGCAGAGAGAGAAATAGAGATGGGGAGGGAGAATGAAGAGTCAAAGAAAAAGAGAGGTAAGAATGGACAAAATGACATGGTGGTTTTATGAAAGTATTTAAAAAAAAAAAATCAGATATTGTCTCTGCATAAGCTTTCTCATTGCATTACATGTTCACTTCCTTCACCCTGGAACAAAAATTACATGGATTTTGAGGGAATGGCAGTTAAACATGTAAAGAAGAGGAATATACGTGTGATACAAACATTTTAAGTTATCTGATGTGGCAGTTATCAGAAAGTTACTGAAAAAGAAAAAGAAGAATATTATTTTCATTTAGGCACTAGGGACTATATGAGAAGATAAAAGTGTTGGGCAATTTGGGCGTATGCCAGATGAATGAAGAAAAAAAAGAATAAATATAAAAATCCTTTCATGAAAACACCATCACATGGGTATAGTGATATTTTTGCTACTTAAAACATAAAGATAATAGAAAAGAAGGAAAAAAGGGATAACAAAAATACAGCAATTTTAGTGAAAGTGTGCGAGTAGATAATTAGGATTCGGAGAACAACAGACACAAACTTTTTTGTGAATTGTGAAACCTCGACAAACAATTATTTCGAAAGTGCAGTCAGCTCGCTCGAAGTGCATTTTGCTCGAATTTATAATTGTGTTTGTCTCCCTCTCTCGCTAAACTTTGTCACAGTCAACAACGGAGGACCTAGAAGGTTGGAGGCCGAGGAGTGGTAATCCGTTGAATTTCCGGTGTAGACCTCTAGATTCGACTAAATTAAAACCTGAGAGCCGTCGAAAATCCCCAAGAGCTATCATTGAAGGTAATCTTTGATCTTTTGAATGGTATTGTTTGCAAACAGGTTTTGAAAGAAATGAAAGAGCGTTTGATTTTGAATCATCATTACACCTGCTGGGTAACCAGCTGGTTTGCTTAGCCAGAGCTTCGGCTGCTTTTCATGTCTTCGGACCGTGGTCAAAATAAGCAGCAGGCAGGCGCGGCGCATGCATAATTTGATCTCTGACTCCGAGACCAAGTTTAAATAATGTTGAACTTGTAGAATACAAGACTACATGGATGACCCAAGCATCTAGCAGATATTGATCTTTATCTTATTCTTGATTCAACGAGAATATTATCAGGCTGTAAATTGATCGTGCTAAACAGGGACCGCGCGCAGAACTCTCTGGTATCGACGGTTGTTTCAATACTGCTGAGACTGTGTCTGGCTCCACTGATCGTCTCTATTATATACAGGGACTGAAGCACATTGTATGGGTTAATGAGGGGAGGTTTTGCAATACATTTTGTGTGTGATTGCCTTGTGCGAGCTGTAAGGGGTACCATCTGCGCCCCCTCTGTCACTTTGTCAGTTTTAATAGGGTATCTAATCTGGGCAGCATGTCCCGAAACCGTCATAGACTACGTATAAGTTCCGCGACATCCCATTGAAATGCGTGTATTAAGTTTAACACACGTTTCAATGGGATGTCGGTGAACCTGTACTTTTGACGGTTTCGTGAGACGCTGCCCATATCGCCCACTCGGCACGTAGACTTTTACACATTGACTGAGCGCTGTACACTGAAATAATGTGCTCCCATTAGCCGATCCACTACAGCGGTTTCAAATTTAAGTGAGAGAGGGCTCACTGTAAAAGCAGAGAGCACAATGACAGTGCCAATACCAGTACATAATATTACATTACACACTAATAATGATATGTCATGCACTTTACACAACTGACGCACACTTAGCATAGGTACATACATAAAATAAAAAAAAAAGCTTTCTCCTCGCACTAATAACTTATAATGTTGATCGAATGGCAGCCAGCGATAGCCAATCAGAAGGGCCCTTATAGGCGCCAATTTAGGAAAATGAGGCTGAGACTAGATATGTAGATGTAAGCTAAAGTTCTACATGCTCGGTTCTGTGTGCTGAAATCTTTCCCATACATGTAGATATTGCACACAAGTTTAAAACCTTTATTCTTTGTGATCCTGATGGCGATGCACAACAAATGAGGTGTCACATGAAAGAGCAGGTTTGTCCATACATGTATGCCCCAAAAGAGTGCATCTCGGAACTCTAAAAATATCTTAATCGAAATAGCGATTTTCCACTTTTGAGAAACGACCACCTGAGGGATAAGTAGTTCCAGTCGTAAGGAATATATCTACATGTATGCACTTATTTTTTCGCTGAAAATACCCTTCCCCCCCCCCCCTTGAATCTGCAAAGTGAGGGAGGCGTAACTCTGTTCAGCGCAAAATCCATGGTGACAGCGCATAGAATCTGCACATATTTCACGCTCGGTAGCTCACATGACGGTCAGCGGGGCGAAGCAAACTTTGTGTGTTCTACTCATGTTGAAAGCCTTCGTACACACTACATCACGGGTAGCCAACCTTTTAAAGCTCGCGGGCAACGGTAAACAATTTGGTTTGAACGGGGGGTGCCGCTCAAGCCTCGAAAGCACTACCAATTTTTATGAGGTCTCTTTGGGGGCATATTTCTCGAAAAAGACAAACTTTCCTCATTTTCTGGTGTTTGCATGGCAAACAGCCGAAAATTTTGCAAATTAAAACAAAAACGGACCCATTTATAATGGTATTTTTTTTAAAGTGGGACCCACGGTTAGGGATTTTTGTGTGAAAAAGTGACCAATTAGAGCGGCACACCCCTGTATGTCCTAATATGTGAGTTTCTCCCGGGTCTTCTACCCCTTCCCCCTCCCCACACACACTCATGCAATACGTGTACACACCTGCAATTTTGCAAACAACAAAATCAGTGAAGAACAAAAATCAGGCTTACTTTTTTAGTGTGATTTCTGGGTGACAAATGAGCCAAAGTCGTTTACATTTCTCTTCCATGAAGAAATACTTCAGAGACCAATCTGATTTAAAGTTTCTGCCTTCATCAGAAAGTTTCCTTTTCTTCGCAGGTCTCGAAGTCGATGCCATGTTGGTTGTTATTTCAAACAAAATCAGGGACACAGCAGAAAGAATATCCTAACTTTATAGTTGTACACTGTACATCTCATTGAACCCGGTGTATAAGGGAAGTGGACTATCAACTTTACGATTAAGATTCATGAGAAAAAAATCAACGGAGAGAGAAGAGGGTTGTAAGTTTCAAGACAAGTAAGGAGTTTTGGATAAATACAAACGTTACTACGTGCGGAAGTTAAGTTAATGTCGTTAATCATGACTGTAACAAGAGGAAATTTGAGGAGTTTTGTATCAACCACTTTAAACGAGCCAATATGTTGTGAATGATGAAAACAAATTATGGAAATAGAGAAAGCTGTGTGTAAATTTGTAATCCTATTTCTTCGCTGCTATACGGGCCCCTTTTCTTTCATAAACTATTATTATAATTAGTTTTTCAATGCTCCGCGGGCAAACCAGAAGAGTTCGGGGGTTGGCCACCGGTGCACTACATGTATATACTGCATAGCGTTGAATATGAGTGTATGAATTTTGATCGCATGTTTGTGTGTCCATTCGGAATGCGTGTTTGTGTATTCATTTTGCGAACGGACCTGCATGCGGACGCACAATGGCTCCTAAAATGTGATTCCGTTTAATAAATAAGATACAAAGAAAATTCCTTTTTTATTGCGTCTCTGCTATTCCCGATACTTAGTTTCTCCAAAATCATGAATTCTCCCTCAACAAACGGGAAACTTGTTCGCCACTTCATCACAGTGACATTACAGTTTAGCCAATTTGAAGAGCCTGTACCTGTAGTACTTTGAAGATAAATTTTTCCAGTTAAATCATGAAAAATGTGAATTTTGATAAACTATTTATATAAAAATCAATAATTATGAATATATAATATTCGAAAAATCATATAAATTCTTCAAAATTCATAAAAGATTTTGTGAAATGTCATGCACACAATATGATACAAATCTGGGCAAAGGCACAGGGAAATCAAGTTTTGGGGAATAAAAAGGGAAATTAATGGGATTAAACCATGTAGAGCAATTGATAAATAGTGAGGACATGACGTCACAAACTG